GGGAGGGGCTCACGGGGCCTCCCCACCCGCAGGCTGCTGCTGCAGAGCCGTACCCCTCGGGTGCCCTTTCGCGACGGCCCTGGAGATGCCCACCCCAGGCGCTCCACCCTCTGTTCGTCCCGAGTTGACCCAGCCCGACCTCCTGCACATAAGGACCCTAGTCTGACCTCCTGTCGCCCGAGCTGCTCCCATCAAGTCCCTCTCCAAAGACTCGCTCTTCTAGCTCAGAACCTCCCCCACCTCAAGGTGTCTCCATCCCTCCCGGAGACACCCCCTCTTCCCCGAAGGCTTCCCCTTCTCTCTTCCTCCCAGGCCCTTGCCTGGGAGCCCTATGAATGCTCGCCTGGTGCAGCTGCAGTCAGCCAGTGTTGCTCACTGTTGCTCCAGTTTTTCCCTTTGTAATTTGGGGGAGACACTTAGAGACTAGGTAAAACCCCTGGTTTTGTTTGGAAGCATGGAAAGCAGGAGGATTGCGAGTCCTGCCTGAAGGGACTGGCCCTGAAGGGACAGGCCAGGGGTTGGCGGTGGACCCAGGGCGGCCGGGCCAGCCACTTGGGCCTATGTTAGTATGCTATCTTCTAGCTCTTAACACTCTTCTGTCTTTGATCTTCTGGGCCTTTCTTTCCTCTTGTGTTCCTATCCCACATCCTTTATCCATAGAACTTCCTCACTCAGCCCAGGATGCTCTGACTCCAATCGTTTTTCACAATCTGTTTTCTAGATGAAACCCTGCCTTCTCTCTCTTGAAATTAATTAAGAGCACAGACTGTGGAATCAGATCCTTCCAGGTTTGAATCCCAGCTCTGCTACTTACAAGCTGTGTGACCTTGGGCCGATAACTTAACCTCTCTGTGCTGCAGATTTTACAGCATAAAAACAGTCATGGCACCTACTTCACAGGTCTATGGGGAGAATTAGACAAGGTAAACCATGTAAAATACTTAGAACACTGTCTAGCAGATATTAAGTGCTCAATGTTATTATTACCACATCCAGGGCTTTTCTCCTATCCCTTTTCCCTCCCCGAGACCACCATACCCACGTCTATCTTTCAGCTCCTTGCACCCTGCAAGCTTGGCCACCTCCCCCTCCCCCACCTGCATCTTCCCATACCCGACTCCTTAGTCCTGAAGTCTTACCGTTAAGTGCACTTTCAGTGTTAGAGTTGACACTTCTCTACCTCAGCACCCTATCCACATCCTTCAGAAAACGGTATATTTATTTGTCTCCTAGGTTATTGTCTGTCTCCTCCACTGTAAAAATAGCATTTTTGAAGAGTTCAGGCTAGCTGAGCAAGGACTGAGCCTGTATGCTCACCCCTGGCTCACCCAGCATTCTTCACAGTTGAAGACTGTCAATGAACACAGTGTAACCCACAGCTCGCCTATTAATTCCAACGGGGAACCTGAAGGTCATCAATTTAACCATGAATCAAACTTATCTTCAATAAGGGACCAACTGGCCCTCTGACAGGGTGCACCGAGAAGGGACATGCTATCTGCCAAACTTGCTTAACTTGAATCTAATCACAAGGACACAATCAGACAAATCCAAACTGGGGGACATGCTACAAAACAGCTGGCCCGAACTCTTCAAAAATGTCAATGTCACAAGAAAACGAAATGACTCTGAAGTAGCATCCTTCATTAAAGGAGCCTGAGAGAGACAACTAAATGAAATGAATGTATATGGATTGATCCTGGATGAAAAAGGCAGGCAGGGAAGGAAGGTGGGAGGAAGGAAGGGAAGGAAAAAGAATACAGCTAAAGGAACACTATTAGGACTACTGGGGATATTTTTCCCATTGCTTTTCAGAAAGAGTGGAAGGGAAGAGTACCTGGCCTTGGCCGGAATCAAACCTGAGACCCTTCAGTCTGCAGGCTGACACTCTAACCACTGAGTCACACTGGCTAAGGCCTACTGGAGAAATTTGAATAAGGAGTATACATTACACAATGGTGTTGGTCAATGTTGTGAGTGTGAGGATTATGCTGCAGGGTGCAGGAGAATCTCTTGATCTTAGAAGTTACGTGCAAAGTGTTTAGGAAACAAGTATCATAGTATCTAGATCTCACCCTGCAATGGTTCTCCAGAAAAGCTTGGGTTCCTGTGAGCACAAGCATACACAGGGAGAGGGAAGCAATTAGGAGAGATGTTGACAGTTGGAGAATGCAGTTGGACTATTTGACCTTGCGACATTTTGCAGATTTGAACATTTTCAAAATAAGAACTGGAAGACAAGAAAGCATTTGTGAAATAAATGGATTTTGGAATTTAATTCCCAAACCTGCAAACCTTGGTAAATCTCTGTCACATAGGAAGACACAACATTCTCAATCTCTTTTATTTATTTAAAAAAAAATTTTGTTTTGAGAGAAAGAGGGAGAAACATCGATTTGTTGTTCCACTTATTTATGCATTCATTGGTTGATTCTTGGATGTGTCCTGACTGGGGATTGAACTTGCAACCTTGGCAAATCAGGATGATGCTCTAACCAACTGAGCTGCCTGGCCAGGGCCATTCTCAATCTCTTAATGCAGCCTTAGTATTTCTTCCTGATAAGTCCCTGAGAACTAGTCAAGACCAGAGGTTCTTAATCCTGAACCCTGGGTTCCAGGAACCCCCAACATCATGTGCAAAATTTGTGGGTCAGTGTGTGTGTGTGTGTGTGTGTGTGTGTGTGTGTGTGTCTGTACTCTTTCCTTAGCATCCATGAGATTCTCAAAGGAGGCCATGACCCAAAAATGGTTCCAAGCCACTGGTCTAACCACCAGGTCCAACCCCAGCTGGGGCCCCATTCCTCGTCTCCGCCCTCGCCCACCTCTGACTCCGTCCGCCCTCCCTGCACCTTCCTCTCACCCTCACCACCTAACCCACACCCATCTCACGTAACCTGCTCCCACGCCTGCAGCCGTGCCCGAGGGCTCACCCACACACCGCTCTGGTGCAACGCGCTCCTGGACTGGGCCGGCACTTCGCTAACTCAGCCCTGAAACCTGCAGTCAGTCCTCCCACAGCCAAATGGAGTATGTTCTTATGGTTTATTGGGAGGTGGGATGGTCACCTCATGGACTTGGAGAGACCCACCACCTCTCCTTCCTACCAGCCAACCATCAGTGTGCTTGATGTGAATTAAGATGGGCGATTAGAGATGGTACCCTGGGAACCCTCACTCAGGGAATAAGTCAAGGTGGCTCTGCAGGGGGTGGGTGTGTGTGTGTCTGTCTGTCTGTCTGTCTGTGTGAGACAGGGCAGGGTGATTCAGTGAACAGGAACCGACTTCCCCTAAATATTCTGGGGGAGGGGGTGGGAGTGAGTATAATTCAGGTTACATGGTGAGAGTGAAAGAAGGCATCATGAGTCAAATA